CATCCCCCCCAATGCAGCAGTCGCTCCCACCCTCTCTCTCATTTGATTGACCTTGCACTGACTAGTAGGGGCTAGTAGTGCCTCTCAGATAGCGGTCCGTGTTGACAAACTCAATAACAAGTCTGTATTTTGTTGTCCCATACATGTCAACCTCTTCGGACGTTTACCTGTATAAAAAGCCTCAAAAGTCCATAAATTTAGCAAAAAATCCATACAACTCACACCCGCAGGGAAGTGGGGGGGTGTCAGCCTCGCTGAGGACGTGAAACAGACAATCCATACAAGTTGACATGTATGTTGTTATTTATTTATTTGCTTTCTGGGAAAGCAAATAAATCTAAGTTTACCATGGTACATTACACTGTCAAACTGGCTGCCATATTTATTACAAGGATGATGACTCAGCAGTTTGTTTATGGTGATGTTAAAGCCAAAGGTTTGTGCTGTCAGATGGATCAGATGTCTTCTGAGTGAAGGTTTGAAATGGACAGATTATTTAAATTGGGAGATTATGAGTAATAAATATCTTACGTGTTGTACATAGCCATCTTAAAAGAGCTGTTCATGCAAACACTGTTTGATAATCCGTTACATTGCTGTCAGTTTCAAAGGATGTCATATTCTCACTTGAAGTAGCCCCAGGCTTGCACTGGAAGTGCTACAGCCACTTGACAAAAGCTGACACTTTTGTGTTAATAACCATAAAACTCTTATGCATTCACTGTGTGATGTGAATCTGATAGCAATGTGAAGATTTATACACGATCTACCACAAAATCTTTAGAGTAACTAAACCCAAACTTAACCTTTTTTTCAGATAAATTGTCAAAATTAAGGGTATTATTTTTATATTTCTGTGCACATTTTGACATTTTTGTGTCAATTTGTTTAATTTTACAATATTTGGTCTAAAAGTGTCTCTGCGCAGCCGTATATGTGTTTAACGTTGGCTACTGCAGTTAAATTTTCCTGTTGGTTAAAATGGTACAGCTGGATACAAGCTTACCTTACAGCGGTTCGAGTATAAAAGGCTTTCACTCCGAGATACGCCCCTGCAGCAAGTCAGAGGTTGGAACAATGAGCACTGCGATGAAAGTTTGCAGCTGCTTTGAACAGTAGCCCATGTTAGCAATGATGTTAACGTTACTTTAACACTGAGAAACTCGACCCATTCTGTCCTCATATTGTATCCACGTTGCTTCACTTTGTGCCAATAAATTTTGTTTTTATTTCCTCCTCTGTGCATATGTAGGCGGGGCTTGTGGGACTCAGGGAAAAAACAAACAAACAAACAAACAAACACTGAAAGTTTAAATCTGGTGTATTGATCTAAGAAACAAGTAGCTGGGTGGTTCTTTAAGGTGTAAGACAGCCCAGGTAGTCAGCACTACGCTGGCCCACCTTCTCAGGAGTCAGTATTACGGATTCTGTCACTGCCTCGCTAACATTCAGAAATGTTTTCAGAAATGCTAGCTTGTCAAATTAAGCTGTCACATTCCCTCGTCCTGACCTCTCAACCTCTCTCATCCCCACACTTAACTGTACCCCTAAGTCTCTTTTGGCACTGCCCACTTTGTTGGAATTTTTCAAATTTGCATGGGCTCAGGGTTACGCTTTCACTGTGGTGTTTGTTACATTTTAAGTTGTTTTAAGATAGAGAAAGCTATCTGTGACAGGTGAGATATTATTTGTCGATAACCTTGTCACAGAACCCAGGCTTCTTTTATAATGGATCCGTGTAAAGAAACATCTAGTTCTGAATTAATTTTTTTCTTCGGTAAAAATATCTTTAGTTTATGGGTTTATTTTTACAATAATAAACAAAAACATTTAAATTGGTTATTCATATTGAATTAGATATTAAAATCACTGATACTACAGTTTATTTTATTTATATTTGCTTTATTAATGTGATTAAAATTAAACTTTCCCCTAAAAATTGATGTTTTTTATGCAGAGACTATTTGCTCCTTGATGTTAGCCTTAGTGGTAAAATATATGTTTCTCATAAAATATAACTATATTATTTTTGCATCTTGTGTGTTATTTCCATGAACCCTGACAGAATTCAGATTCTTTGAAATCAGCTGCAGGCAGAAGAATGTTTGTTCCTGCCACTAAAGAATGAAGCTCTCTGCTGCCATCTGGTGGCCAAACATGAGGCCAACATCAACATGTAGGATTACTGTGCTTCAAATAACAGATTTGTGTTTTTATTTTTATTGCCAGGGAGCCAGACGAGCATGAACGACTCCTGCGAATCGCCCTCCTCCTCTTCCTCATCCTCATGTCCACCTCTGCTGACGCCCACCAGCAGCGGGCCGGACGCCATCGGGATGTTTGACATGGACTCCTCAGACATGGCTCTGTCCAGCACTTCCAGCCAGCAGAACTTCGACCCCAGGAGGCACTCCTTCAGCGAGGAGGAGCTGAAGCCTCAGCCGATGATCAAGAAGGCCCGCAAAGTTCTGGTGCCCGATAACCTGAAGGTGAGAGACCAGGTTCGACAGTGGGGGTCTTCATTTTCTGGAAGTTAGTTTGAGGTTTTAAATGCATATATCAGTAAAACGTGATAATTCACCGTTTTATTTTAATGATTGATTACAGAGGATAGTAAAAATACACATCATAGTGATATAGTTGAGCTCAAATTTTGTCATAATAGACCTAAAACCCCAAAGATTTTGAACATATTCTTAAAACAACACATTTTTGATTCCCCTACACAACATTCAATTGTTATTTTATTTAATCAATATCTGTCCCTCCAAAAAATTACTCATATTAAATCTCTCTGGTAATTTCCATACCCAAATAAAGAAACAGAGTTTCCACCTTCGTTCCTACCTCTTAATTTAGAGCTTAAAAAATGGTTAAATTTTTCTGCTGCATAACGGGACATATGTATGGTGTGGAAAAACTACAAGGTGAGTCGAAAGACTCAAGGCACCCTTTTATTTCAGAAACAAAAGGAAAAATAAAATTCCTGACTACTCCAGCTAGTAATGGATGAAGAGACCCATCTGTTAGGCTGTCTGGAACACGGCCGCCATAATGGATCTAAGTTAATTTTTTACAAATGGAAAGATGATCGTTTATCGGAGAAGATCAGAGACTTATCAGAAAAGGATCTCCACACAGAAATTTGCAACAACTGTTGTTTATGTGTTTAATATGTTGAACACAGACACACCTGTGTCCTCTTATTTTAAAATACGCTTCTGAAAAACACTAATAATACGTTAGAGGATTAGGACCACATTGCAATATATATATATACA